TGACAGATGGTGATAGTCCCGTCCCCATGCCAGGCTCTCAGTGGTGCCTCACCTGCGAGGAGTAGATTCTAGGAATGGACAGACACTCTCATAGTGTCCGATGCCTGGAAAATTCCATGTCCCTCAAAAATGTTCCCTCTGTCACCAGCTAAAGCTGAGGCCTTGCAAGAACCAGGCACAGAGTCTCTGTCTAGAGCGCCTGAACCATAGGAGAAGTCTTTGAGGAACAGCAGGAAAGGGTTGAAGATGAAGCCACTATCTCTCAAGCCAGATTCTCCTCATCTTCTTCCTCTAAACCAGGGGAGGGCAATAGTTTTTTAAAGAGGGCCACTTCACACATTTCTGAAGTGGCCCCAGGCCACTCCGGAAGGGGTGGGGCCTCAGGCGGAACGGGAGGGGCCAGGAGACTTCTCATGCTCCAATGCCCACAGACCCTGATTGGCCTGGGGTGGGAGAGTATATGAAGTCTTTGCCCCCTCTGACACTCAGCACCTACAGAGAATCGCCAGCTGTTTTAAAACAGCTGATGGTTCTCTCTAGGTGTTGCCGTGGGAGGAGACCTAGTGCGCTGTCCCCACTCCGAGGCCAATCAGGGCCTTGGGGCAGGGGAGCTGCCTGCCCCCACTCTGCCAGGGGCACATGGTGGCTAGTGAGAGCCGCTGGCTGTTTTAAAACAGTTGACCGTTCCTTCTGATGCCGCACGCCCCTGGCGGGGGAGGAGACTTTATGCACTCCTCTGTCTCCAGGTCTTCATTGTCCTGGGGGCGGGGGAGCGGCAGGCCAGCCACAGGCCAGATCCACCAGCTTGGTGTCCCAGATCTAGCCCATGGAGGCCCCTTTGACCACCCTTGCTCTAAAGAGTGCTGCTTAAATTGTGGCATACATACTTCTGTGTGGGCAGACAACAATGATTTTAAGGCCCAAAAAGACCATTAGATCACTTAGTCAGACATCAGCTATAACACTAATTATTACATTTTACCCAGTTATTCTTGTATGACCCCAAATAACTCATGTTTGGCTAAAGCATATCTTGCAGAAAGGCATCCAGTCTTGATTTCAATTCATCGAAAGATGGAGAATTTACCTGTGCCCTTAGTAGTTTGTTCCAATGTTTTGTCATTGCACTCTTACAAAGTTGTGCCTAATTCCTAATGTGAATTTGCCTGGCATCATCTACTAGCCAATGATTCTTGATATGTTTTTTCTAGCCAGTTTAAAATGCACTTTAGTACTTAGGTTAGTTGACCATCTAAACAGAGAAAAAAAAAAGAGGATGAGTGGCACAGTGTAAGGCCATTCTCAGGCCTTTGTGACAAAGATTAAGTGCAGCTCTTTAGTTTCCCCCTGCCCATGCATAGGGGAAGGTCTATAAATAAGACCCTACCAATTTCACGGCCATGGAAAACATGTAATGGACCACAAAATTAGCCCTTTCCCCATATAATCTGATTTTCTCCTTGCATAGCTGCTCTCGGGGTGATCAAACCCAGCTCCCCCAGCCTCCCCCTGCTGCAGGTACCTCTGGTGCTAGGCAGCAGCACCAGATTCCTGCAGCTGGAGGAGGTGTGAGGAGTAGGGCTGATCTCCCCTGCTACTGGGAGCACTTGTCCTTTTCCTATAGGGCTGTTGTGTGTGTGCGGTGGAAGGTGGGGAGATCAGATCCACTTGGAGTACCTGTTGGGTTCCAACTACTATGGTACAAGCCCTGAAATTTCAGCTGTAAACAGCAGAAAATGAAAAATTGACCAATTTAAATACCTTATGGTTGTGAATTTGATCAAAATGTACCATGAATTTGATAGAGCCCTGTTTATAAGAGTGGATAGTTGAGATCCAATGGGGAAGGACTTCTGCTCTCTGGCTCTACAGGCCTCAAGTGGCCTAGATTGAACCCCACACTGTTATTTTTCTGTTTAGTTTGGATTTATACTGAACTTTAATTGACAGCGCCCTCTAGAGGTACCCTCCCTTCAGTGGTCCAGCACAGGGACACAGTCCCAGGATTCTGCCTCTCCTGGCCATCACCTCTCTCGGGTGGAGACACACATAGAGTGGCTTGTTGGTCTAGGGGTATGATTTTTGCTGTGTGTGTGAGAGGTTCTGGGTTTAAATCCTGGACAAGCCTTGGAGTGCTTGGTTTAGAAGACTGGAAAAGGGCAAATATAGTGCCCATTTATAAAAAGGGAATTAAGAATAACCCAGAGAACTACAGTCTTGTCAGTGTAACTTCTGTGCCAGGAAAGATAATGGAGTAAAGAATTCATCTGCAAACACCTGGAAGATAATAAGGTGATAGGTAACAGCCAGCATGGATTTGTAAAGAATAAATCATGTCAAACCAATCTGATAGCTTTCTTTGATAGGATGATGAGTCTTGTAGATAAGGGAGAAGTGGTGGATGTGGTATACCTAGACTTTAGTAAGGCATTTGATATGGTCTTGCATGACCTTCTTATCAATAAACTAGGCAAATGCAGCTTAGATAGGGCTACCATAAGGTGGGTGCATAACTGGCTGGAGAACCGTTCTCAGAGAGTAGTTATTAATGGTTCACAATCCTGCTGGAAGGGCATAACAAGTGGCGTTCCACAGGGGTCTGTTTTGAGACCAGTTCTGTTCAATATCTTCATCAACTATTTAGATATTGGCATAGAGAGTATGCTTATTAAGTTTGCAGATGATACCAAACTGGGAGGGATTGCAACTGCTTTGAAGGATAGGGTCATAATTCAAAATGATCTGGACAAACTAGAGAAATGGTCTAAGGTAAAGAGGATGAAGTTTAATACGGACAAATGCAAAGTACTCAACTTAGGATGTAACAACCAGTTTCACACATACAGAATGGGAAGTGACTGTCTAGGGAGGAGTACTGTGGAAAGAGATCTAGGGGTCATAGTAGACCACAAGCTAAATATGAGCCAAAAGTGTGATGCTGTTGCAAAAAAAGCAAACATGATTCAGAGATGCATTAACAGGAGTGTTGTGAGCAAGACACAAGAAGTCATTCTTCCACTCTCCTCTGTGTTGATTAGGCCTCAGTTGGAGTTTTGCATCCAGTTCTGGGCACCACATTTCAAGAAAGATGTGGAGAAATTGGAGAAGGTCCAGAGAAGAGCAACAAGAATGATTAAAGGGCTAGAAAATATCTCCTATCAAGGAAGACTGAAAGAAGTGGGCTTGTTTAGTTTGGAAAGGAGAAGACTGAGAGGGTACATGATAGCAGTCTTCAGGTATCTAAAAGGGTGTCACAAGGAGGAGGGAGACAAATTGTTCTCCTTGGCTTCTGAGGATAGGACAAGAAGCAATGGGCTTAAATTGCAGCAAGGGAGGTTTAGGTTGAACATTAGGAAAAACTTCCTAACTGTCAGGGTGGTTAAACACTGGAATAAATTGCCTAGGAAGGTTGTAGAATCTCCATCTCTAGAGATATTTAAGAGCAGGTTAGATAGACATCTATCAGGGATGGTCTAGATCAGGACTACTCAACTTTGGAAGCCCCAGGGGCCACAGTGATACTCACAGCACATGCGGAGGGCCACAACTTAAGGGTAGTTGCATATACATGCAGACATATATGCAAATATATGCAAATAGCTTATTTCACACTGATGGGCATGAATACAAAGATTAAGGCAAGACTTCACAACATGCAGGCTCCATTTAAGTCAGATCTGTTGATATTAATAAAGTGCAGTATTTTTAATGAGCAATGACAGCACTTTTAATGAGCAATGACAGTTCAGGAATTTAAATACTAAAATGAAATGCATATAAACAGAAGGCTATTATATTGACAATTTTTTTGTTTTGGCTCCCACTCATGGGCCGCATGTTGAGCTCTGCATAAATCCAAACCATACCACAGGTCGCAAATAAACGGGCTGCGGGCCACATGTAGCCCACATGCTGTGTGTTGAGTAGCCCTGGTCTAGATGGTACTGGATCCTGCCATGAGGGCAGGGGACTGGACTCAATGACCTCTTGAGGTCCCTTCCAGTTCTAGTATTCTATGATTCTATGATATCCCCAGGCTACACAGTTCCCTGCCTTAATCATGTCCAAGGACACCTGCTTGCTCTCTCGCCAGAAACAGTTAACAGATGAGTAACCTTTCTGCCAGGTGGAGCTAGCAGCAGCCAGTACTAGGTTCAATATCTAGGGATGCCTTTCCATTGATCAAACACAGAACTGGCTCGAGTCCCAACTCAGTAACCTGGGAAATTTACACACTACCCTAGGGTGCCCCACTCGCAAGCAGAGTCTGAGTATAGAAAAGAAACTTTCAGTAAAAGGAGGGAGGTAACTTGGCATTAATTTGGGAAAGCTCTGTTGGTCACTTGTCCAACTTGTTCAAAATAAGCATTATTCCTCATAGAAAGCAGGAGTTATTATTTTGAAATAACTAGCCCCTTTTTCAAAATAACAGGCTTGGTAGTGTGAACATTCCACTTGTTATTTCAAAATAACCTGCTAGTGGAGACCAGGGCTAAGAATGTAGAAGATATTACATGTGATTACCTGGACAAATTCCAATTTGAGTAATTGCATGCTGCCAAGCACAGTTTCAGTAATGGAAGAAATTATTCCTGTATACTTCAAGACTTGTGGGATCTTCTTGGAAGGTGATATATATTATTATTACTGAATCTAAATATATATTGTCCGGGAGATTTTTTTAATAAAGGAAGAAAGAAGCCTAGTTCAGGCTCTCTAGTAAACAATATGTATTTTATACTCATTTTTATATTACTTTGTAGCAGGTTTAATTTAAAAAATATGACAATTAAATATAAACTTCAGTATTCTAATAACATTAAACTAGGAAACTGGATGAAACCTGACATGTCTTTCTTAACTAATGTCACTGTGACTTTTAGCTTTACATAATGTTTAAGGAATGAGCATTGGCTTTAAACTGAATCTCCTGGGGTTGGTCATTTTGTGCAATGGTATGAAACACTGAAAACAAACCACCTGTTGCTTTTCTGTTTCAGTGCCGGGACGATGATCCCACCAGGGGAATGTCTGTATGCTGGGAGGAAAAGGAGGAAACCCATTCAGAAACAGTTAAGTATCATATTCATTATGAGCTAATTATGTCTCCCTCTGTGTGAATGTTTTATAGGGGAGATAAGGCGCAGGGAGTCCCTGCCTTCCACAGTGCACGCACACAGGAAAGGCTTAATTTGTCTCCCCACAGTGGGAGTACAAGCTTGGCCGGATGGCTAGTTTATCCATCAGTGCTGATTGGCCCCCAGAAAGGGTGCATCTGGCAGAGCATGGGGGAGGCTATGACCCTTCCCTTTGCCCTGCGCCCCACATAGGTTGGCTATGAGTAGGGAATACCTTTGCACATTTTAAAACTTGAACAAGACCTGCCTTCCACAGCATTCTCCCCACATTATGCCTTTCAAAGGACGCAGTGTCTCCTGACACCAGTGCCCTGGTAACGGCCTTCTTAACTTTCCCCTAATGTGGTGCAGCCCTGTATGCAATATAATGGAACAAAAAATGTAGGGAATGGGAGTTTGAAAATTGAAAATATCACGGGTTACTTTAACTAAATGAAACAATGAACAGGTGAGTGGCACTTTTTGACTAAAGTATAATTTTTCAGGTAGTTATTTTATCAGATCATTTTCATTGTAAGGAGACTTGCGCCTACACTTTATGAAAGGATTGCAGGAACAAAGCCCTGTAAAGTAATGGGATGGCTTGAAATGCAAGGAGAGAAAGGTCATTGTCACTCAAATATGAAATGGTTTCCAGATGCCCCAAACTACTCAGTTAAATAAATGTTTTTTATTATAATGATCCATGCATCTTTTGTGTTGTACCATGTAATTGTAAAACCAAATGTATTTTTGGTATTTTTCAGAGTTATAAATATGAATAGCATTGATGGGCATGGTACTTCAGTGAATGATGAGATGGTCATTAAAATGAAGATCCCTATTTCCAGTTTCTCATAACATCTGAAAACTACACCATTTGGACTAAAATATTATGTTTAGTCTACAGGAGAGCATGCTTGAAGCTTTGAGTAATATCTAATGAGTTGTTTTGGAGTTAGGTGAACATTTAAAATAAATCTCTTGTTTCCATTTAGAAAAATCTTGCAAATACAAATACATTGTGGTGGATAAGAATTTTAATGTACAAAAATAATGAAATAAGAAAATGATGGATCCCACAATTATACTGTAACTTGGCTCCCAGACACATAATAATTTTTTCTACTGTGAACTTTTTGTGTTCCGATCCTATAAGTATGAGCTCAAGGTGACCACTTACACACATGAAGTTAATAGGTGCATGTCTGTTTGCATGGTCTGGACCTTCATTTCAAGAGGCAAAATTACAGTTGCTTGTAATTACAGTAGAAGCTTATAACTTTTAATTTTGTGGATCCATGGCTTCCCTAGAGATTGATATGCTATCCAAAGGTACAGCTGTATGACTGACTTAGATTTTTTTTAAAGTGGATGTTCAGATAAGTAAGAATGCTACTCTACTAACAGAGGGAGTAGATGTTCTCAGGGGTCTTTGGTGAAATCCTGGCCTGCGTGTAACCATTAATGGTAACTGATAAGTCCAGGCTTATCGGTTAATCATTTAAACAGTTATACTATTACATCCCAGAGGGTACATCTAGACTACAAGCCTCTTTTGAAAAAACCTCTTTCGAAAAAGATCATCTAGAGAGCCACAAGACTTTCAAAAAAGCGATTTGCTTTTTTAAAAGAGAGCACCCAGGCAATCTGGATGCTGTCTTTCAAAATAGCCCTGTTTGCATTCAAGAACGCCTTTTTTTGAAAGAGCTCTTTCGAAAAAAGGTGTTCTTCCTTGTAAAAGCAGGTTTACCGCTGTAGAAAAAACTGCTGCATTCTTTCGATTTAATTTCGAAAGAACGCAGCTGCAGTCTTGACGCAGGTGAAGTTTTTTTTAAAAAAGGCCACTTTTTTCGAAAAAACTCTGTAGTCTTGACATAGCCTAATTTTACCATTTTCCTTTTAACCCCCCTCCAAATCCCCCCCATATTAAAAGAACGTTATTGAGGATGCAAAATCAACCATTCAAAAAAGTAGGGAATGTCAAATTTACAGCTGCCTTTACAAATTTAAGAGACAACCTTAATTTGGCCTCTATCTATGTGTGCATTATGGCAGTCTAAAATTACTTGATTCCATACTGTTTTTTCCACGGAACCCCTAATGATGGATTTATAAAGGAGGCAGAATTAAGAATTCTTGACTATGAAACCTAACTAATCTCCTTTTAATATTGTTGTTTGTGTGCAAATATTTATTCTTTTGAGAAAAGTATTATTTTAGTTGGGATGGTTTTGATTGGGCAGGTTTTTTTATAGTTGGGTTTTAATTTTTGTTTGACCATCTTAATTATTGTAGTGTGCCTTGTGTAAAAAGCATATTGTGGGCCCTACTAGAGAGGTTGTGTGCTTCTGCTGCAGTGTTTGGAATCTGTAAAAGGCTAGAAGAGAATTCCTCCTGGGACGCATTGTGTACTGTTGCAAGATGACCTGTAGTATTTTCTAACCTGTTATGAGTCATGGCATGGTGGGAGGAGCTGGCTGGGATGTGAGGGCCATAGTACAAAGCACTACAGAGATTCTGTGTAATATCATATCACCAGGTGTTGCAGCCCTAGATATGCGAGCACCAAAGTAGCATAAAATCACTTTAACTCCTCCCCCCCCCCTTCCATGGACTGTGACATTTGAATTGCACTTCCAAGAAGAGAAGGCACATAATATCAACCCTTGAGACTTGAGCCCATCTCTCTTCAGTTCTGCTAGTCATAATTCTGGAATCACTCAGCAAGGGGTTGTCAGGTGTTTGGTATTCACCCGGACAGGCCGGTATTTGTGGGCTCCGTCCTGTAAAAAAACCAACAGGAAATACCGGACATGTGAAATATCCAGTATTTCCTGTTTCCCTCGGACGGAAGCCCGGCGGGGACAATTTTCCCCTGCTGCGTCTGGGAGTGAGGCATACAGCAAAGTCATAGTGAAGGGGGGCAGGAGGGGACACTTGCCAGGTGCCATGCGAGGGGGGCGCCGGGCAGGGGGGGGGAGCAGAGCGCACACTGTTGTGGCCCACGTGACCAGCAGAGACCCCGGGAGCTGGCCACATGATGCCTCCCTCAACACCCGCTGTGGCCAACCCGCGACTCGCAAGTTGCATGTGCCGTTTGCCTCCCAAAAGTGCAGCTCGTGAAGCCACTCCTATGCCCCCCAAATGGTGCCCCCCCCCCGCTGGCTTCCCCCCTGGCCCCCAGCTTTCCTGTGCTTACTGGGTTGAAAATGTGGGGTTTCAAAAAATGGTGCCCAATGGCAGCCGTCTTAAAGGGGCAGCCTCCTTTAAAAACATTTTTTTCTTAACAACTTTGGTCTTCTCCCCCCTTTTTTTTTCCTCGACAGAATTTTTTCCTGGTGGGTTTTTTTTGGGAGGGGGTGTTCGGTATTTTTTTGTTAAACCATCCGGCAACCCAAAGGAATTACATTGTTTATCACAAAGGGTACATCTATACTGCAACACTATTCCAAAATAACTTCGCATCTACACAGCAGGCAGTTATTTTGAAATAGTGTCAAAATACTGTCAAGCTGGAGGACTTCTTACTCTGACTCCTGTAACCCTCATTGTATGAGGAATAAAGAAAGTTGGAGGAAGAGTGCTCTATTTCGAAATAAGTGCTGTGTAGACGCTCCCTATTTTGAAATAAGCTATTTTGAAATAAGATACTCCATTGACATAACTCAATTTGCATAGCTTATTTTGAGTTAAGCCCTGCAGTATAGACTCACTAAAAGGTTGCAGTACTTTTACCAATTAACCCTTGACTCTCCTCCCATTAAACTTTCCCCCAAAACCTCTTTTGGATTGAAATTTCCCAAGCTTTGTCTCAAGTCTGATATGACATTTTGGGAACATTCATAGTAAACTGACAAAGCTATTTGAGATGTTTGACTTGAAAAATTAATATATTCTTATTTATTTTTAAAAATCGCCTTATTTTTTGTGTTGCCAAATCAGAAATGAAAAATGGCTTTATCCTTCCACTTTGTACCATTGGTCCTCCCTGAGAACTAATAAAGAAACAAATTTGAAAAGCTACAAATAGAAAGTTCCATTCTGGCATCTTTTATTAAGCATCATTGCATATGACAGCTATTAAAATCTCCGTAAGACTATCCTATGGATATTGCCATAACTAAAGAAAGGGGCAATTATTTTCTGAGAAGATAAGCCTGACTGTAATCCCTGCCACTGCTGATGCAGAGTGCAACAGGTGCGAGTAAATGTAATTTTTAGGTACCTGGAGGGTTCTTGCTTTTGGCAGAAGAGCAATAACTCCTCGTATTATTCTCTGGCCCTCCTGAGCTTGCTAGTGCAGAGAGACTCTTTCCTTAACCATCTTTTGTCCTATCAGGATTCCTACATGTGCTAGTACTTTCATGTACTGTAGTGTTCCTGAGTACACCCACTAGATGAAACAATTTCCCTCTGCATCTCCACACCTGCCCCTACCCTAACCACGCATTGCAGGAATGACTAAAAAGTATTTTGGACATGCACTGGAAATTGGGGACAGCACATCTTTATCCCATTACTCCTGAAGTAGAGCCATGGACAGAAGACCTTGCCTCATCTGTTCCCCATTCTTGGGAGCGCACTGTCTTTTTCACCACTTGTTCCAGGTTACAGCCCTTGAATAGGCATGAGAAAAAATGTTTTAGAGCAGTGGTCACCAACCAGTAGAACAGGATCTACTGGTAGATCTTGGAGCCTTTGATAGGTGTTCCTTACTGGTTTTGCCAGGAGACTGTCAAGTGCCGGCACTTCATCTGCCCCTCTAAGACTGCCATGTTGCTCCTGCCTCTGCCTTGTACCAGTTCTGGGAGTCTCTTGCTTGCTGTGCAGGGCACATGAAGAAGAGGAGGGGGTACTGATGTCAAGGTGCCCCTCCCACTACCCCAGAGCAAAGAGGGGACATGGATGAAGAGAGTTTTCTTGCTGCTTTTGGGAGTGGTGCAGGGCCAGAGTAGGGGTGAGCCTGCCTTAGTCCCCTGCGCCACTGCCAGAAGCCACCTGTAGTAAGTGGTGCCCATCTGGAGCCTGCATTCCAAACCTCGGCCCCAGTCCTGAACCCTTCCTGCACCCCAAACCACTGCCCTAGTCTTGAGTCCCCCTGCACCCAAACTCCCTCCCAGAATCAGCACCCTGAACCCCCTACTGCAGCTCAACTCCCTGCCCCAGTCTCAGCTCAGAGCCCGCCCACACTCCAAATCCTTTAGCCCAAGATCAGAGTCTGCACCCCTCCCCCGCACTGCAGCCCTCTGCCCCCAGACTGATAAAAGTGACGGAGGCAGGGAGGGAAGATGGAGTGAGCAAGGGCAGGGCCTTGGAGAAAGGGCAGGAAGGAAGTGAGGCAAGGGTGTTTGAGTTTGAGGTGCATTCTGGTGCGATCTCATGCTTAAAAAGGTTGGAGACCACTATATTAGAGGAAGGGGTAACAAGGACCCAGTTTTGCTCAAGAACAGCAACACATAAACAAGACGTGTGCATTGCCAGTGCTTTCCTCCTTCTCACTGCCAACGCTACTTCTACAAACCCCAGCTGCCCTCTCTCTGACACACTGCTGGGGGGAGGGCTAGCTCAGTTGTTTGAGCATTGACTTGCTAAACCCAGTGTTGCGAGCTCAATCTTTGAGGGGACCATCTGGGGTGAATCTGTCAGGGATGATACAGTAAACTTCCGATAATCCGACTTGCTAAACCCAGTGTTGCGAGCTCAATCTTTGAGGGGACCATCTGGGGTGAATCTGTCAGGGATGATACAGTAAACTTCCGATAATCCGGCACCTTTAGGACCCAGGGGGTGCCGGATTATCAGATTTGCCGGACTATCGGAAGGGGAGAGCTATGAGGG